CTTTCTTTCTTCTCTCTCTCTCTCTCTCTCTTTCTCTCTCTCTTTTTTTCGCTCTTTTTTTTGATGAGCAACATTGATGTGGTAACGAGGAGAGGCTGGACCGATAACAATGCTGTTTCCCGATTTCGAGAGTCATCTTTCGATAATCGTGACGTAGATGATCGTATTGCTTCCAGACGAATGTCCGAACAGCGGCGAGGACAGCGAGGAGGATGTAATAACCGATTACCTTGGCTCATCGCACTCCGACTGCGATCGCGTGCTGCCTATCATTAATGGGGATCTACGCGGCCTGAGTTTACACGGCGGCATAATCACGGAGACCGGCTACAACACCAAAGACAATACCGACAAAGCGCCGATCACCATGTCCGAGGGCGGCGACGAACAGCAGCATCACCAGCAGCAGCAACAGCAGCAGCAACAACACTCGTTGCTCGCACTCGGCACTAATATACAAGCCCAGCCTAATCCTTTGGTGCCCATTATTAGCGTTACGCCGCATTCGCCCGGTGTGGCTAAGAATTATCCGGTCCTAGGTAACAACTGTTCTTCTCATTTCACCCTGATTGAAATCGTGGACATCGAACCTTGTGTTTTTCAAATGTGTGATATATTTGTATTTGAGACAAAATGTAACATTGCGAGACGCGTTAATTTACAAAATTAGGAGAGGAATGCCGAAATTATATATATAAATAAGTTGAAAATGAAAGAGATTTCCACTTCCGGTGTGACAGAGCGTGACACATGGCAAGTAAGCGACGAGTTTTTGGAGAATAAAAGAGAATAAGGAGTAGGGATGAGTAGGGACGAGAGTGAATGGAAGAATGAGCGGAAGGACGTGTGTATGTGTGTGTGTGTGTGTGTGCGCGTGCGTGCGCGTGTGCGTGAGTATAAGATTAGGGCGAGGTGAACAAAAGGGACTCAGATAGTCAAACCTGCGCAAGCAGATTTTGGAGAGAGCTTGTTACACGTTTTTGATATTAGTAACAAATCCAACACGGAATCTGTTTCTGAATATATTGCCAAACTACTGTCAGCAATGTAATAAGATTTGCTGATAAACAATGCGAGTAGATGGCGGCAGAATCTGTAGAGATTTGACGGCAGATTGGCCGTTTCGTGAACGGAAACCGAGCAGATCCTGCTGCATCAAATCCTGAGCTTAATGCAGATATAAATTGCTATATAGATTTATAGTCAAAATCCGATTGGAATTTGCTGCCAATCTTCCAGACAATTGTTAGCATTTTGCTATCTGGGGAATAAAGAAGCGCGATATATTAGGCAGAGGGCGATATAGTAGACAGAAAGTATGTATGATATAGAGGAGAGGAATAGGCATTATAAAAGGTTGAAAATAAAATTCAAGAAAATTGGCGAAAATTTAGTCTTTCTTTTTAATTTGATGCGATTGAATACGACGCAACGTTGTTCTTTCTTGCAGAGGAGAACTTGCAGCAGCTGCACGAAATACACGACTGCATTCAGCGAATGCGAGATTCGACGTTGGGCACTCTGGGATATCACATTCGTTCGTCCAACGATGCTCCGCAAAGATTGACCTCCTCCTGCCCGTGCCTGTGTCCGCTGACTTCGACCGAGCTCGCGTCTCGTTCCGGCAACCATCATCATCATCATCATCATCATCATCATCACGACACCGGCTCCGATCCAGATCTTCTTCTCGGTAATTGCTCCACCAATAGCTCTCCGACGCATTTCCCATCGGCGACCGGTCATCACGTCCGATCGCAACAAGCGCAGAGTATAGATCGGAGACGCAGCTGGACTGGCGATCTGGAGGATCTGGAGGAGAGCCGGCGCGGTCGCCGCCGATACTCCGGACAGAATCATCTGCAAGCCCAAAATATGGTTAATATCGCTCGTTACTTGTTAAAACCAGGGCACGGATCCGATTCGATCTCGGTGAGTTTACATTTCGATGCTGTCGATTTTGATGTTACGCGAAAACATTCGTTGCTACGTTCCTCTTGTTAAAAATGTCAAGATAAAAATTATCTTCGCGTGTGCGTCCGTGTAGCATCGAAATCTGAACTCATCGAAACTTACATCGGTATCTGAAATGCCCGATCATCACACTCGCTTTACAATGGTGGCATGGCTGTGGTTGCTTTGTCATCTTACGCATTGCATTTTTCGCAACGAAATCACTCGATACGCAATCGTACAACGTACCCGTTTACTCGTTTCAGCGACAACGCAGCATTAGTTTAAGTAGCCTAGACAGCGAAAACGAGATAGAATTAGATGGAAAATCGTGTACCGGACCTGTAGGCGTAAGCAATCGGGCATGCAGGTCGCAAACGAGCACGCACTCACTGAACGAAGCCGATCTTATACAGGTAATTCGAGAGATCTTTCGAGAGATGATTCTTTTTTTTTTTAGATACGCGCGCAGGGATAACAACAAATTTTTCTTCAACAGAATGAATATCAGAAGATAGTCACAAAGAGGGGTAGTCAGAGATTAGCAGAAAATAGCAGTTTAATGCCAGGGCTTACTGGTTCGCGTTTACCTCTTCAGAAATCCATATCGACGCCCTCGATCGTTACACCACAGGTTCACGCGCATTTAACCGAAACCGGAACTCGAACGACGCCTTCACTCGCAGCGTAAGTCCATTATGAATCACGAATGAAGATCGTATAGCTAGATCAACGGTGGAGAAACGGATACATTATTTTCTGACTTTTTTCAACATAGGAAGGCTACTTACGCTTTCGGACATTCGATAATCTAGCTTGCGATCTTGTTATAAATCAGCACACAAAAAGCTATGCACATATATCTTGTGCCGTGTACATTCATGTGTGCGCAGGCATTCATGTATGTGCACTTTCACGCACTTATATATTTTTATCTTATCGATCTTACGATTTTTCGCACAAGTAGAAACTCATTTTGAAAATAAACGCAAACGTATTCATGCATGAACACATATAATTAGTAGAATAAATCTCAGAGATGTCTATATTCATAAATTCCTGAAATATTCTGCATTATATAAATCTTTCAGCTTATTTTATAACTGCTCGCGTATTATTGTACTCCAAGTCACAGAAACGAATAAAAGTCATTAGGATATAATAATAATTCAATGTAGTTCAGTATATATTTAGAATATCTCCTCTTACATTATTAGTTATTGACGACAAGTATAATACCTCAGAGTTCTCATGTTACAAGATCAAAATAGTTAATAATAATAATGTACATCCATCTATTGATTAAAAAGTAGTTCATACATATACATTTCACTGATTACTACCGATTACATAATCATTTTAAACGCGAGCAGTTTGATTATTTCAAATATTATCGATGTGTATATTTTTGCATCGGATCATCTGAGAATATTTCAATTATAATTGTTCATTATACACGATAGTTAGCTTAGTTTGTGTTTGTACTTGAAAATTTGCTACGATCCTGCATGAAACAGCCGTCATGAAAGAAACGAAAAGGGTAGTGGGAGTGAGACAGAAACCGAAGATCTTCATACATCACACAGCCACGAATTCCACGAAGATCGGGAGGGCACTCCGAGTGTTCAGATTGACGAGTGAGTACTCCGATACCTAAAGTCCTTCATATCTAATTGAAATATTTATGATACTGCGAAAACCTTTTAACGTCTTTGATGGGAATGGTTTGTACCGGTTTGACAGTCAATCGATTTTGTAGCCACGAATAGTCCGTAGTTACAGTTATAACTGCAAAATCAAACACAAACATGCAGCGACTCGCATACATTTATTACTTTAACGTAGCACATATTTTTTATTTAGATATTAATTAAAGACATCACGTAGGCAGTTTAAGACTCATTGAACAAAAGATCACCGGATATATCACAAAATGGACTGGAATTACTACCTGACGTGGTTGTGCATGCACACTTTAAAACACATAGCTTTGCGCACATTTATAGCGATTTACACGCACACTTTTATCTCTCGCAATCAGCTATGAATAAGTCGAAACGCTTTTATAGTTGTTAAATCATCCGCAAAATACAATTTTAAATATTCCGCATTCCAGATTTCAAACCGAACGATATCGGTATATATGCTACTTTTTCAGTGGTACTGCGTATGATGATCATCATTCCGAGAAGACTAGAAGAAAGCGCGGTTCTATTTTCTTTCGTAAAAAGAAGGTAAGACGATAGCCCAAATACGATTATCTGATTCGTTCGTCCGATAAAGATGTTGCCCGATGAACCATGATAAAATCTCATTTCAGGATAAAAGCGGAAAGAAGGCTAGTCAACAGCAACATCTATGGGTAACGATAGCGGTGGGGACTCAGGGAAGCTTATTATGTGATGTATGTATGAAACATTCGACGAATAAGCCGCTCCTTCATTGCGACAGTAAGAAAACTTTTATATCAAGTTAACTGATTTTTATAAATATTACACTTGACTTTTGTAAAATTACCATTTAATATTTATACAATCGTAGATTGCGGAGCGTCAGTTCATCAAAGTCAGGGGTGTAAGGATCAATTAGTATTGGAATGCATCAAATCTAAGCATCATTCCGGCAAATCTGCAACAAAATCTTCATCGATTTCATCGATATCGAGTAACAGTAGCGTCAACAAACGGGGTTCCACAACGTCGTTGCCTCTACCGGCGTCATCCGGAAGCGGAAGGTAATAAGTTTACGTCAACAAAGATAATATATTTTTTTTGCATTGGATCTGCGTATCTGTGGTTCAAAATTCGCACGCAAATGGCATGGCTGTGCCGAAACTCGGAGCTTATAACGAATTTCATTTAATTATGGCAAAATGACTAATGAGTAGTTCAAATCACACTTAACTTGATTGATCTTAAAATAAAATAAATTAGAATTTATTGTTGCATTTTATAGAGTATATATATTTAGATTTTATAACTTATTACTAAGTAAACAAATATTTTTACGCATTAGCGTACGAATAACATAAAGTGAGAAGTCTTAATCTAAAGAAAAATTGTGCATCTGTTTATTACTCCGAGGCTTTGGCTGGCTCAAAAGCTTATTATTTCTGATTAATTTCGCAGTTTAGCAACATCAATAGTACGGCAAGCTTTAGCGCGTTCAGCATCGCGCCGCTACATTTTGATATAATATCAAACATATATTTACATATATGTTTTTACATATTATGCGTATTACTTATACAGAATATACTATGCTCAGACCTCAGCTTTCGATTTTGCTATTACACAAACTACGAAGATAATACTAGCAACTGATATTATCCATAATTACGTAACAAGAACTTATCATAAATACAACTCATAACTCTTAGGATCATTCGATTCTGAATTCTTAATTACATTTGATAATAATTAACAAAAAGGAATAAAGTTATTAGTACTTTTTAACAAGTAGAAAATTCTTGCGTGTGGGGAATAATTCGTTAACAATAGGTATCGACGTGTAAAGTCGAAAAGAAAAAGAAAGAATTAGCAAGAAAAATGAAATTGAGGGAAGAACGGCCTAATAAGCGAAATGAAGTTGCCCTAATGCAGTGTGCTTTCTCCTTCTCCCGTGCATTCCCTCTCGTGCAACCACGTGCAAACCGATCGATTGTACGACGATTAAAGGGAAATTAACAGCCACAAGAAAACCGTGTCAAGCTACAGCCCTTGGCGGCGAGTCGCCACTAAGCTTGGAGTCAAGTAAGTCTCTGATATCTGATGTGTTCCTCCTGTATTCTGTCGAAAGCGTTCGTTCGTTTCTGTTCGTGTGTTATCTCATGCCGGATCCGGGCCAGGCGAACGAGCGCAAACAAGCGCGAGGGAACAACCGTTTTTGTACTCATCGAAGCGTGTTATTCGTTCGTACTTGCGTTTGCCTGATCTGAATCCAGCTTTACACGCGTCTAGTAGGAAGGCGCGCGTCTCTCGTTCCTCGATTCTTTTCTTCATACACACACACACACACACAATAATAATACATATACATACACATACGCCTATTGTCCAGCAAACGGCGATCGAATTCTGCCATCTCGTCTCGTATACGTGGAAGAGACAATCATCTTGCCCTGCCTGTGCTTCTGATTTTGTGCTTGCTTCTATAATTTGTGTCCATTCAATAATATGTATAGATATATATATATAAATATTTTGTGTTACCTCTTCTCGTTGTAATTTTCGCCTAAATTATAGCGCCGTAAGTTCACAAGTGTTAATCCATAAGGTAATCGCCTTCATGATAAGTATATACACACCAGACAAATATCACAGTAGAGATACATGGCTCATGACATGGTACCAATTTCTATTTCTCCCTTCTACTTTGTACCTTGCCCTGTCAACGATAATTTGTCATGTTTCTTTTTCTCATCGTTTCAATGTGTCACAAGACTTCATGTTTGAACTTTCACATTGAAGTTCATGTTCTCAGTAATGTGTCAAATTTTGAGTTGAGTCGGGATGGTCTAGAAAGATGGTCTATAAAACGTAAACGGGGGGGGGAAGGGGGGATGCTATTCTTCGAATATGTAAAAGGCATCGTATTCGCGCGAATCTGTATTCTCGACTAAAAAAAAAATTGAAGCGAATTATAGGATATTAATAGGAGAGAAAGTGGCTGCATCTATGATGCATGTCCTACCCGACCTGAACTCGGAGTTTCCGGCTCTTGCAGATTATTTGGCTCATCCGCGAATGGCTTTTAGCTGTTAGTATCAAAGATTTTTAATCTCTCTCTCTGAATTGATCTTAGATCTCTAGTTTAATTATGCATTGCGATCTCAGCGGCATTAATTATATTATACGTTACAATAATTGAATATCTCGGATATACATTGATTGTATAATGAAAGTTAGACGAAGATTTGTATACGTTTAAACGATAGATCGAATATATATCGTCTATACAAGGTTTGTACAGAAAGGGTTGTAATGAAAAAATAAACTTAAGATAACGTATAATTCGCAGTCTTCTCGAAAGGCCGGCATCTCAGTACATTAATTTCAAGAGTCTTTCAAGGTCAACTGGATTTTGACCTGACATTGTATAAAATTGTGTTATTTAGGGGAGAGTGAGATTTTTCTTTCGCAATAAATAAATTATGCTTTATGAAACAAAGTTATATTTTTCTTTCAGTCAAACGATAAACGAAGAAAAAGATGCCGAGAGCGGGCAACATCGTGACCTTCCCAGGTTTGTTCTTTCATCTAATATAGCTTGTCTCTTGTCTTTCTCTTTTAGATTGTAATAAATCCATAAAGAACTCCGCACAAATATTATGGAAAGTGGCTCTCAAATTACTTCAAATTTTAATTTTGTAGCTCATGTCAAGTTGATTAAAAGTTCTCACATCTACAAATGTCTCCAAATGCCTTAGTTTTTGCTTCAGAACTTTCAGAAGATCACACATCTTATACAAAAAAATAGTTAAAATAAATCTTTTTTACATTAGTTATGAATATTGTATTATCATGAATATATATTATATATGTCACGGAAAAATATATCAAACATAATATCAAAAAAGTATCACATTTTTCAGTATTTCAGAAAAACATTATTATGATATCAGGATAAAATATCCTGAAAAAAAAGCTTTATTTTATTTTCTGATTCCAAGAAGCATTTCCAAAAATTGAAAATATTTTATTTTGTGTCCGATGTACAATACGAATACGTACAGCGTTTAGTAATGGGGGCAGCACGTCATTTATTCTGGATAATTTTAAGAGTGTGAGAAAAATTAAAATCATAAATGTATACTTGCAGATGCACATTGATATATGACAAAATATTAAAATTTGAAGCAATTTGACCGAGAGTCATTTTCCATAAGATTTGTGCGACGTTCATTTAATCAAACTAGCCATACTGCTGTCCAATGTATTGTTTGGACATTATAATGAAAGATGAAGAACTAATGAAGAAAACTAATGGACTAACTCTTTCCTTCATTTCAGCGGATGGGAAGAATTTGACTTTGGAGACGATGCTCATCAGTTCACGATGGCAGATCTCGAGGAGATAGATCCCGAACTAACATTGGGAAAGGAGGAACCGGATTCCTGGAGCTCCGCGATCGGACGTAATATCGCATTGCGTCTGGTCGATCAATGCGATCGCGAGGTGAAGAGGCAGGAACATATATACGAATTCGTACTAACGGAGAAGCACCACTGTCTGGTGCTGCTTGCCATGGAGAAGATTTTCGCGGAAGGATTACGACGACATTTTCGTCTGGGTCAGCCGGATTTGGAGCGCATGTTTCCCCGACTACGAGATCTGATCGACATTCATTTGCGATTTCTACAAAAACTGCGAAAACGTCAGAACGCCAGTCCTGTGGTTTTGACAATCGCCGACATCCTAGTCGAGCAGTTCTCGGGCGATAACGCGCAACGCATGAAGAGCGCGTATGGGGACTTTTGTAGCCGTCACAGGGATGCCGTAGAAGCGTACAAATATTACTTGCGTAACGATCCTCGTTTCGCCCGTTTTGTTCGACACTGTCAGGTATGTTTTAGTAAAACTGATAGATGATCCATATCGATCTGAATGATACGTTCTAGTAAAATAAAAGAGATAACTTATGCCTTCAGACGAATCCCCTGTTGAAAAAGAAAGGTATACCCGAATGTATACTCTTTGTTACTCAACGTTTGACGAAGTATCCGTTACTGATCGAACCGCTCATCAAAACGGGTGTTGCACAAGATGAAGGTGAAGATTTACGTAGAGCACTGGTTCTTGTTAAAGAGATTTTAGCTGATGTAGATGCCTGTGTAGCCGATAAAGAGCGAGAAGATAGAAAATTAGAAATATACAATAAGTAAGTTTCGATTCTTTATTTCCTTTGATTATTATTATATTTCTCCGCGTTGTTTTTTTCTCAAAACTATAAATAATATCGTAATTTTCGTAGGATCGACGCGAAATCATTCGCGACGTATCGTGGTGCCAAATTTAAAAAGTCGGATATAATCAACAGAATCCTGAAGTTCGAGGGCACTGCATATTTAATGCAAGGTCGTGGCAAAATGACTGCCATCGTAGTGGTCGTTCTCTCAGACATATTATTTTTTTTAGCTGAGAGGGATCAGAAATACGCGTTCTTTGTGCCTGACAATAAAGCCGGTATAGTTTCACTGCAGAAGCTACTGGTTCGCGAGAAGGCTCGTCAGGAATGTAGCATTTATTTGATAAGCAGTAATCCGGCCGAGCCGGAGATGTTCGAGCTAAAGATTCAAAAGCCAAAGGACAAACAGCTATGGATTCAGGCTATTCGATCGGCGGTTGAGGCTTGTCCTCAAGAACCCGAAAACGAGGCCGACACATTGACTGAAAGTAGTAACGAGTTACGAGATACACGTTCCTCCTCGATTTCTCTAGTCTCCATCGAAGAAAAGCAGCGTATTGCCAAGGTCAAGGAATCACACATTCTTAGAATCGTCGGTATGTTTTTTTTTTTTTTTCAGATTTTATTTTTCTTTCTTTAATATTGTTTAACTTCTTTTAATATGTTTAAATAAAAAATTGTATCGTGCCAGGCGAATTGCGAAAGAAAGATGCGGAACAGGCTCTGCTGTTTGAGGAAAAGATCAATTTGCAAATGCGGCTTTTACAAGCAGCAAATATCTACAGTGGGAATGAGAGCGATAACGAAAGAATTGAAAAGCACGAAAAGGAAGGTGCTGATTACACTCGGTTGGTGCATAATGAAGGAATTGATACCACTCAATTGTGGCAAGAGGTTAATATCTCGATATTAATTATATTCTTAATTTTTAAACCGAATATATTTATATTAAAAGGTAAAATAAATTTGGTCGCAGGTGGTCGTAGCCGTGCAAGAAGCGACACGTCTCGCCAGCTCGCTATCGTTCAGCGCGGGTGGCGCTACTCTATCGCGAAGCTTAAGCTCCGCCGGTGAACGTCACAGCGAAGCATACATTCCGCCAGCTCTTTGCGTGCCTCGAAGAGCCGAAACATTTGCTGGTTTCGATCACAATAAGGTACATACGAATGAACAAACAATGTTTAAATAATCATAATAACAAAAATAAACTTTAAGTCTATGTTTTTAGGAGAGATATCCGGTGCGTGATTCGAACACGTTACATACCGTGATTCCCGTTCCAAAAATCGGCGAATTACCTAAAGAAAATCTCGACGAGAAGGATAGCCAAGAATTGGAGACAAACAAGGATCAGCAATGGGCAGCGATACGTTTGTCTCATCATGTTTATACATTGCTCTGTATAATCAGTAATCAGATGACAACAATCGATAGCCTGCAGGCGCAATTGGCCGCGTGTAAAGAAGGCAGTATGGGCAAATCGTCTAATAGTCGACCCAATCCGAATCGTCAGCTGGAGGAACTGCGGAATCTACAGGATCAACTTTGCCGAGAGAAAGCGGCATTTCGCGCTGCGTCTCAGCAGGAGAAGACTCAACTGGAGGAGGAACGAGCCGAGTTAGCACGGCAAAGGGAACAATTGGCCGCGGAGCAGCGAGATGTGACGCAACAACGCGATCAGCTGTATCGACGACTCGAGGCATTGGAGCGACAGGGTGTAACGCTGGCTTCCACGCCTAGTTCGACGATGATTCACCTATCTCATATGCCGCAAAACACCGACACAATGCAACAGAGCGCGCGCAATAAGGCGCAACCCGAGGCTAAACGTATACCTCTGAATCTAATCAGCGCCACGAATCAGCAGAAAGTGCAGAGTAATTTACCTGTCAAGCAGCAATTGCCGCTGAAGCTCGCCAGCGGAAGTAACAATAACACAAGGTAGAATCAGCTTATTCCACCATTGCAAACATTTATCTTTCAATCGACAGGCAATAAATCTGTGTGTGTTTCGTCGATTGTTCGACAGAAGCGGTAGCACCGCGAGTAATAACAGTCCCGATCGTCACTCCAGGACGGGCAGCAGCCCGGCGATTGTCACCGGCTCTGCGTACTCGTCACCAGAACTCGGGAATAGCCACCATCACGGAATGGGCGGCGGCAGTCACACTCACTCATCGAATCGATCCCTTCGCATCACTCGCTCGCCGCCCGATACCCCGTACGCGCATCAGCAGGCACAACAGCAGCGAAGCACCGAGCCGCAACCGCCGCAGCAACAGCAGCAGCAGCAACAACAACAACAACAACCGTTGGAGGAGGAGGTCTTTTTCTGACGATTCTTTCGATTTGGTCGCAAGCATTCGTCGCGTTCGTCGCGTGCCTCCGCCGCCACTACCGGCACGGCCACGCCGACCTTGACGCCGACTCCATCACCACGCAACCAATCGAGGAGCAACCAGCAATCCCGCAGCCGCGTCAAGTCCTTTTGATTTTCGACATAGGTTTCTCACGATGTCGCAATCGATAGGCTGCTTCATGGATATATACTCTTTGGTAACGATTCATCTATCATTTCGCATCTTTTTCTATCGCTCACCCCCTTCCCTTACTACGGGTCTGATCGTCTTACGATAGGATGCACCTATAATTATTTATTTCACGAGATCATAGCGTGATACGATGATCCATTTTGTCCACACGATGAGACTATCGTTAATAAATGCAAGTAGTTAGTCTCAGTATATAATTGAAAGAGGGAAGAGATATATATATATTAGAAGGAAGAGATATATAATACTTTTTATTACGTTCCAACTGCTACAACTGATGGCAATAATCATTTTTATGCCAAACCTCGTGAAACTTACCTTGAATGGAAAAGGGAACTGCTAAGAGTAAAACGCAATTTATTAGAAGTGAGATGCTCACGGAATAATGAAAGATAGGAAGAGAAAGAGATAAGTATTAGTGGCCGAGTTAACAAAGTAGATCAGGCGATCTTGTTGAATTCTTGCTCGTTACGTTATCAAGCCGACTGACAATTTTAGAAACAC